AACCACGTGTTGATCTGTTCTGACCTGTTCCTGCCTACGAAGATGTCCTTTTATGCTGCACTGGACCATTTCACAGACCAATAGTTTAGCTGTGTGAAAACACACCCAGCGTGAGATAGATGCCCTTCCAGAGACCAAGACATTGGAAAAGTACGTTTAGCAAGTTTGGCAGCAGCGTGTTCGCAATAGTCAATTTTTCATCTACGAAAAGCTGTACTAAATATATAAGAGCATAGGAATGATTTCGAACTCAATATAACTGTTGCAAATCTATTGCAAAAGTGTTGTAAGACCATCATGCCTTAGAGTTCCTCCAACGATTTCTTCATCCTATTTTCCTGTCCTTTTCCTCAGAGATTCAATAGCAGTGCCAGAGCACGCAGAGTTTTATCTGTGCAGTGTGAGTAATGCAGTTCCTTTCTCCTGAAGAGAAATGTAAATAGCACCGGTAAAACAGCCTATTTTCACTGGGGGAGTTTCATTTTCAGCCAGTATTAGCTCATAACTTAGAACCGGGCTTCATCTAAAATCCATGGAAAGATCTATATTCCTTCTCCAACTGTAATCCCTGCTCTCTCTTCTTCATGTCCATGGGCATGATTGCTGTGATACATTTCATATTGCAGCAGGACGACTGTATCATGGGGTTCGGAGAATAGGACGTTACTCCTGTGAAAAGATGTGTACTCCCTGTCCAACCTCGGGGAGCCCCTTACCCTCCCCCTTCCGCTGAAGATTAAATGGATATAGTGGAAAAAACACTGCGGTCACCTATTAACCATCTAATACTCTTATTGCACTCCTACAATCAAACTTTCTCTCCATTTTCTCTCACTTTTCTTCTGCTTCTTTGCCTTTCTCACTACATGTCTGTCTGTGTCTCCAGGGCGAGTATTGTCCAGAAGAGAGTCATCTATTTCCAGGATGAAGGCTCTCTCACCGTTCAACTGTGCGAGAAAGGTAATAACAGCTCCCGATCCAGTCTTTCTTTTCATCCTTGATTGCGTATCATGTTGCTAGTGTCCTGTGCTCTACGTGTAGTTTACCCCCCCTCTGTCTTTGGCGCACATTAGCTCTCTTTATTTCATACCATATTTAAAAAAATCTCAAACCAACAAAGCCAGCTGGGGAAAATTGCGAGGACAACAAATCCTGGATGTCATGGGAATTTAAATATTGCTTTCTGTTTCACTGCAGAGCCCAGCCGCTGCTTTCATGCTACCTGTGATTTCATTGCAGAGAAAAATGGCACTCTAGCTTCCTAAAGCTCACAGCCAGCCTGATAAACACTGCACTCTTGCGAGACAATAAGGCGACAGGACTCTCTCAGCTCTGATGCACACATTTATTGTACAATAAAAAAAAAAGAGAGCCTGGACGAGTGGTTTCGCAAACTTGATCTCAGGGGAATTTTACTTTCATAAAATCCTCCTTACCTCTCCGAAATCTAATTTTCCAGGCTATTATGCAAGCCAATCAAGCCGCCCCGTTTCAATTTGCTGACGCAAGTTAGGTGTTGTGAGTCATCCTGCTATAACTTAGATGTCAAGTGAGGCTTTCCTTTTTTTAATAATTTGGTGATTCATAAATATTCAAGAAATCCCCTTGACCTACCTTTGCAAAACATTGGTCCTGGGCAAAATCTGAATATTTATAAGCCTGAGTTAAAGCTAATGTGTCATTTTAATACCGGTTTATGTAATTTTGTGTCATTCTCGGTGATTCCAAATTGTCAGTCGCCAGGTAATTTATGCAGGTGTGCATTTATATCAAACCTTACACGTCGGTGTGTCTGTTTGTTTACTCCAGAAATGGTTTTTTTAGGATTAATCAGGGCCCTGCGTCCTGATTAACCTTAAATTTTTACACCCCAGTGTCATTTTGTTTATGCTGTCACCGTCGCATTCTGTCTCCTCGTAGAGGGTGAAGCTACGCAAGCTCCTGCCATTGAGTGCTGTGCCTGTGGAACCGCCAAGTACAGACTCACCTTTTATGGAAACTGGTCAGAGAAAGTACATCCTAAAGATTATCCAAGTGAGTTCAGCTTCTCAACATCTTCTGACTGATGCATAC